AAGGCGGCAACATCTTCTAGGTAACCTATGTGCATTTACATGAGGGCTCTAGGGAAAGCCGCCTTCCCTCGGGGGGAGAGCTGATTCTGGAGGATTCTAGGGCTAGCACAGGCTGAAGGGCCATGTCCTGCAGTGGCCTTCAGCCCCCATGCCACTTGCAGGGAAAATAAAAGCATTTTTAATTAGGGTCGATGGTTATTCTCCATGGGCAGATATTTGAAGCCACACAGGATTATTATTATTCATGTTGACATTGCCACATTTCTCAGTAAGAGTTTTAAAAATTAGTAAATGGGGGCTGGCAAGTAGTGTGGTGGTTAAGGTGCTGGACTCCCACATGACTGACAGTGGTTCAAGTCCCAGACCTGGCAGCTTGCTTTCTTACCTTTCCCTCATCTCTCTCCGGTCAAATAATAATAATAATGATAATAGTAAAATTAAATGAATAGTTCTTTGAAAAAAAAAGAAAATTAGTAAATGGCCTCTCCAACTTGCTTGTTTGTACTTTCCAGGAAGTGTATCAACCTGTCACTTAGTGGGAGACAGCCGGTCGAGAGGCTCTGAGAAGAGACACCGCAGGGCTGGAGGGCAGGCAGAGGTGGAGACGCCGACTGCCCCAGGGCTGTACACAGAGCCCTGATGTGTGGCGTTCGCATCTGTAAATGTGGATTGTGACTTGGCAGCAAACCGCTTTCGTGCTCTTTGCTTGAAAGCCTGTCCCAAGTTTGGAGAAATCGCTATTTGGTGGCCTTGGTAGGAAGCCCCCGCCTCAGAAGACGGGAATACCCAGTGCTCGTCTAGTGGGCTGAACTGTCCCTCAGAAAGGCCAGCAGATGGTGAGGAGGTTAAGGTGTTGGATCCCACACGGCCGACTGTATGGTTCAAGCCCCAGACCCGGCAGCTAGAGAAACATACCAGGTATGTGTGTACTTGTGTGCCCCAAATCACAAGAGGATAATGGAGGAGAAGGGATTGTAGCACGGTTATCCCCCTGAGGGATGTCTGTCTCCAGTGAGCACACATGTCCTATAGCAAATGTGTGTGTGTATACATACACATTTTTTTAAGAGAGATTTTTGCTATGGGCGTATGAGCTTGCCAGAGAGACACAGAGAGGCAGAAAGCAAGAAATCACCCCTCAGAGGGGATGGCCATGCTGCAATCCTTTTTCCTCCATTCTCATCTCGGGATTTTGGGCATGCATGCAAATACACGCGGTATGAGTTCTAAGCCGCCGGGTCCGGGACTCAAACCATGATTGACTACATGGGAGTCCAGTGATATATTATGCCATCTGGTGGTGCCAGCAAAAATTTTTTTGAGAGGTTTTTGCTATAGGGCGTGTGCACTTGCCAGAAAGACGGAGAGACAGAAAGCAAGAAATCACCCCCCCCCCCAGGGAGAATGGCCATGTCGCAATCCCTTCTCCTCCATTCTCCTCTCAGGATTGTGGGCATGTCACACACACACCCAGCGTGAGTTTAAGCTACCAGGTCCAGGACTTGAACTGTGGTCAACTATATGTGAGTCCAGCAACATAGCCATTATGCCAACTGATGGTCCCAGAAAATATTTTTTTAAGTAAGAGATATGCTCACATCCTCCCCCTGAAACCTGAGAGCACAATTTTACATAGGAAAAAAGATCCTTGTCAAATATAATCAATTAGGATATTGAGATGGACCCTTCTGGCTTTGGACCCTAAGCTCACGAATAAGTATCTTTAAAAGAGATAGGCAGAAGGACCAGCAGATGGTGTGATAGTGATGTTGCTGGACTCCCATAGTCAACTGTGGTTTGAGTCCTGAACCTGGAGACCTAAGACTCACGCCAGGTGTGTGTGCGTGCATGCCCAAGATCCTGAAAGGAGAACGGAGGAGAAGGGATTGCAGCATGACCATCTTCCCTGGGGGGTGATTTCTCGTTTTCTGTCTCTCTGGAGGGTACACACGCCTTATAGTAAAAATCCTCTCTCTCTAAATAAATAAATAACTAAATAACATAAATAAAAAAGAGAGATAGGTAGAGGGAAATTAGAGGCACAAGTGAGGATGGCATATGAAGCTGGAGGCAGGCTGGAGTGATGTGGCGTTCCTAGCCGAGAACACCAAGGGTTGCCGTGGCCCCCAAAGGCTAGGGGGGAGGCCCAGCACAGTCTCCACTACGGTTTCCAGAACGAACCAGCCCTGCTGACACGTTGATTTATGGACCTCTGGCCTCCTGAACTGTGAGAGCACAAGTTCCTGCAGGAGCCCCTAGTTTGGGGTACTCTGTTCTGGTAGCCCCAGGATGGTATGCACTCTTTCTCTGGCCTCCCTTGCAGTTAGGGTGTGGGTGCAGAGTTTGCTGGGTCCAGACTTCAAATCTGTAGACAGCGATGTGGAGAAGCAGCTTGCTGCCTGCAGTAGCGGCTGTGGGGCTACAGGGAGCCCAGGGCCCAGAGCGAGGGGTGCTAGGGAGCCATAGCAGCATCTGCGTCTCAGAGATAGTGGCACTGGCATTCTCACACCATCGGCTCTGCCTGGGATTTGGGCATTGCTCCTGGGCTGGGCCAGCAACCCTGTTCCCAGGCCCTCAGAGTGGCCCAGGGAGCTACACAAATTCCTTCAGGGAAACATCCTTTTCTGCTAAAGCAGCCCCAATCAGCTTCTGCCACAGCCTCTTGTCCAGTTTGTCATCAAGCACTCCTCATGGAGTTGCTAGTTCTCTTTGATCAGCTGTGAGGAAGGCCACTCATTCATCCCAGAGGGCAGGCAGCAGCGGGGGCAGCCCAGTGAGGACCCCAGGGCGGGTCCCAGTTAGCTTTCTGACTGGGGAATGACCTTGGGCAGGTCACTTAAACTCCTAGTGGCTTCCTCTGTATCAGTAGAGAATATAAAACCGTCTTGAAGATCCAGTGATTGACAATTTTTAAAATGTCAACACATGTGTGGAAGTATAAACGTGACTGGAAAATCGTGTTTCAACTTTTTGTGTATGATCTTTAATTTTCTTTCTTGAAAAAATGACAAGCACTTCAAACAGGATACAAAAAAATGGCATTCAATCAATCTTATGAATACAAATCAGAGATGTTTTGACAATTCCAAGACTCCTATTAATGGCCTCAGGTTTGGGCTGTTTACGCGATCCCTAAATTGACAGATACGGTGCCCTGAATTGTTGCCTTGACGGTGGCAAGGTGCCCTCGGCGTGGCCAATGGTGAGTGGAATGGAGAACCATGAGGCCCACGGAGTCAGGCATCAGTCCTTGTATGACGATGAGTGGCTTCAAGACACTCATTGTCTCCTAGATTTGGAGTTCTCGGTCACTGGATCAGGACCTGAATCGACCCTCCTTTGCTTACAGGTTGTTTCACTGCCTCCCTCCCTCCCTCCCTCCTTGCCTCCCCCCCTCCCCCCCCT